GCTTTACTGGAACCAGCCCCAAGTGAAGTGGTGACACACGGCCCGGGCCCCTGTCCCTTTGGGATGCTCCTGGGGCTGTTCATGTGCACAGGGTGCTCCCAAATCCCATGTTTCCTCTTTGTGTCCCCTCCCAAGCCTCTGGGGGCTGAATCCAGCTGTGCAACCTTGGGGGAGTCTCCTCAGATGCCCGGTCCAGACGTCACTCCACGCGGCGAGACTTTGGGTCGAGACTGGCCTGGGGCCTGCTCCCTTCATCCCTCCCAAGAGCCAGCCCTGTCTCCCGACCTCTGGCTCCCGCCTGTCCTCTTTCAGAGCGTTGCTTCTCCTCCTCTGGCATCAGGAGTCCCTGTCCCTAACCCTGACCCCTTGCCCGTTTGCCCTCGAGCCCCCAGTGCTTACGACCAGATTCCCAACTCGCTGTGGAACTGGTGGGGACCCCAGCATCCCAGCTGGGCTCTGGGTGGCATCATGGAGGTGGGCACAGGCCAGTCTTCCTGCGCCCACGGGGACAGCTCTGCCACGCAGCGGACGCCTGGGTATGTGTGACTGGGCTCAGCAAGGGCAGGGCTGCTCGTTGGCTTGGCCACCATTCAGCCGGGGCACTGAGCAGTCGAGGCCCCTGGATTCTGGGGAGATGCAGGGAAGGAGGCCCGGGCTGCCCTTAGGAGGACGCAGAGGGGCGAGGGCTGGGCAGGCCTCTGGCATTGCAGCCCAGGCCGGGGCAGCTGAGGCAGGACCCCAGAGCACCGTGGCACTGGGGGGTGACTCAGGGGTTAGCTGGTGTCGTGGGAGGCTCGTGGTTTCATCACTGGCTCCACCCCTACCAGCGTGGCGACCTCAGCCTCCTTTTTCTCACCCGTGAACTGAGCTGACAGTGTCTCCTGTACCTGGGGTCATGCCTGTCACAGCCTCACCCTTTCTGGGCTGCCTGGCACAGACTGGGGCTCAGAAATAGGGTGCGCATGTGCAGAACAGCCCCAGCAGGGCAGGGGCCAGGGGCTGGCCTGGGCTTCTGCAGGCCCTGGAGTGAGGAGCAAGCATGAGTGCTGGCAGGCAGGGCACCATGCTCGCCCCTCAGCCTCTACACACCTCCATCTGCCTCCTCGCCAGCTGGCCGAGACTGCCACCAAGTCCTCCACCATCACGTGGCTGGGTGGCTGGTGACTCAGGCTGTGAGGCCACAGCTGGGCTTGGCGGCGGGCACCCTGCCCAGGCCTGAAGGGCACCACATGTGGCTCTGGATGTCCAGCTTTGCCTGCGGCGTGCCCGTGCCAGGTTGTTGGGGCCTCGTTGTCAGGGCCGTGTCCCCGAGGGCTTGGCTTCTGGCCTTCTCTTTCTGTAGCGATTCTTCTCCACTGGTAATTCCCAGGTGGTTGGAGCAGGGTGCAGGGTGGCTGAGAGCCGAGGGCGAGAGGCAGCAACTGCGCACCCCACAGCCTGAGGGCACCCTGGCTTGCCTGGTGCAGGGTCACTGTCCTGCCCTGGACAGACAAGGAGACGCCTCCTCTCCTGAGTTCTGGGGGGAGAGGCCAGCAGGCTGGATGAGCCCCAGTAGGGTGGGAACCTGCTGTAGCCTCAGTTTCCCCACCTGGCTCACAGCAGCGGTGAGGATCAGATGAGCCCCCTCCCCGGGCTGGCCCCGAAGTGGCTGTGTTGTGGTAGCTGCGGTCAGAAGGGCAGCGGGCATCAGCCCCTCGTCTGCCTTGTGGGCTGTGGAGCCTGCTGCCAGCCTCAGGCAGGGCTGCAGGGTGATGGGTGCTCCAGCTCGGCCCAGAGTAGGTGAGGCTGTGAGTATAGCTGAGAGAGCGCCTGGGTGTTCAGGGGTCTTGCTCTCAGCCACCTCAGTGGGTACTTCCCCGATAAACCCAGCCGGGGGGCCCTGTGAATAAAGGGGCTTCTGCCCTCTGAGGAGCAAGGTCCCTGAGAAGGAAGGGGTGGGGGAGGGGCTCTGAGGGTGGAGCTGCCGCTCAGGTCCCTCCTGCCAGGCCCACACTCCCTGAGCGGTGGCCTCCACTGTGAGCTGGTAGCGCCAGAAGGCAGAGAAGTGGGCACCTGGGGGCGGCCTCATTACCACGACGACCCCTGCCCTGCGGGCACCAGCTCCCCAGCATTGGAGTCCATGTGAGCTGGTGCTGGCTGCAGGGGAATGAAGGGCTGGTCTTCACGGGGGCTGCAGGGGAAGGAAGATCTGGTTTTCACGGGGGCTGTAAGGGCAGCAAGGGTCATTCCCTTTCGGGGGTATGGAGGGGGTGGTCAGTGGCCCGGGGAAGCAGCACGTAGCCCGGCACCATTGCAGCCCGGGAGAGGGAATAAATATTTACCATGCACAGGCCCAAACACTCTCAGCTCTGCCAAATATTGTTCACTGCGGTGGTCGGTTTCTGTCCGGGCAAGTGGTTTCATGTCCTGCCAAGACGGGGTTTGCGAGGCGCTCCCAGAGCGTCTCTGCAGTGCGCGTGCATGAGCCCACGCTTCCGGGAAGCGGCCGCCCGCCGGCCCCTGGCCCCGCTTGTTTGTTGGGTCAGGGTTCCCAGGGCCCACCTCCGGCCTCCCATGCAGCAGCCCCGGCAAGCTGCGGGTGTTTTGTTACCCAGAGATGGCAGCCTGGCTGCCCCAGCCGCTCCCAGAGGCTCAAGGGCCCTTGATCCCAGGCTGTTGGCTGGGCCCCTGGTCACCGCCCCTGCAGACAGCGGCAGAGATGGGGGAGGGTGGCTGGCTGTGGGGTCTGCAGGCTGCGGGGCAGGCCCGGGGCGGCTGCATCTTCTACTCCTTCGTTTTCTCTTCCTGTGTCTGTCTGTCTCGCCTCTGTCCCTGTCTGCCTCTCTCTCCGTCCTCCCGCTGCGCACATCCACGTGAGCAGTTGTCCTTGCAAACACAAAGGCCTCAGAGCCCTGGGACCCGTGGGCCTGTGCCACGCAGAGAGCTGTGCGAGAGTCTCCTGCCACTGCTGCAGTGAGCCCTGGAACCAGGTGGCTTCAAAGCAGCAGGGCTTTGTTCTCTCCCAGCTCCAGAGGCCGGAAGTCTGAGATCAAGGTGCGGGCAGGCTGGACCCCTGCAGGGGCTCTGAGGGGGCGTCTGTTGCAGTCCCCAGCTTCTGCTGCCGGCGTCTGGGAGTGCCTTGGCTTGTGGCCGCCACTTCTGTCTCTGCCTTCCTCTTCACACAGCCATCCCCTGTGCCCGCGTCCAAATTTCCCTCTTCTTATAAGGACGCCAGTCACTGGATTAGGGCCTCCCATCCCCTGTGAATGACCTCATCTTAACTTGATTGCAGGTGAAGCAAAGACCTTATTTCCAAGAAGTAAGGTCACATCTGGGTGGGCCTGAATTTGTGTGGACATTAGTCACTGCAGAACAAGCAGCGGGAGACAGGGCGTCCGGGTGGGCAGGTGGCACAGGTGGCCGTCTGTCTTGCTGGTCCTTGCTAGAGTGAGGGTGGAGGCTGCTTGGGCAGCAGAGGGGTGAGGACCCAGGCGTCAGGGTGGCTCCCCGGGGAAGGACGGCAGGGTTGGTGGGCAGGTCCTGGGGTTGATGTGGCCCATGCTCTGAGGAAGCAGGAAAGAAGCTTCCTCGAGAGGCAGCGAACCTTCCAGAAGGCAGAGGAGTAGGCACCCGTGTGGCAGAGGCCTTGTTCCCCTGATGACCCCAGCCCTGCATGAATGAGCTCTCTGGTGGCAGTGGAGCCTGTGTGAGCTGGTGGTGGCTGCAGGGCAATGAGGGGTCGGTCCTCACAGGGGCTGCGGGGTCTGCAGGCGCACCAGTCCTCTCCAAGGGTCGTTCACTTTAGGGGCCATGGAGCGGGTGGTTGGCGACCTGTGGGGGCAGCTTGAGTTGGAAGAGTCCCAGGCAAGGAGGAATTGAGACTTAGGAGCCCCGGGCCGGGGGTGTGATGGTGGGAGGCTTGCTGGGGCTGCGTGGGCTGGGGTGCCCCCACCTCCCACCCTCCCTCTGCTCAGGGCGAGTCCCAGAGTGGCAGAGGCAGGCCCCTTGCCAAATGCTCTGCCAAGACTTTCCATGCAGGGGGCTGGTGATGCCCGCAGGAGCAGGGTGGAGACAGGGGCTGGGCAGGGGATGGCGCAGGGTGTCCTGAGGTGACCGGGCTTTGTGGGCTGCACGGTGTTGGTGGCCTGGGGCAGCCTCTGGACTTGGGGAGGGGGATGGCGTGTTCTCTGGGTAGCTGGGGTCTCTCTGGCTGTGGGCACCTTCTCCCGCTGGCTGGGTTGGGCTGCCCATTCCCTACCATTTTCTGCTCAGCCTTAGTGACAGCCCCAGCCCGTCCCGTCCGAGCAGGAGCCAGCCTGTGGACCAAGGCTGCCCTGGCCACACTGCCCCGGGAAGCCCTCCCTGCCTGCCCGCTATGGCATCTCCTCTCTGACCTGGGCCCACACAAGTCTTCCTGCTGCTCCCCATAACCACTTCCTCCAGGGCCCCTCTGTCTCCCCAGCTCAGCTTTGTCCTCCTAGGTGTAGGGGTCGGTGGCCATGGCACCTGTGTGTGGGGCTCCTACTGGGGCCATCTGCTTCACTGGTGGACTGAGAGTATGGAGTCTGAACTGGCACCTCCCGTGTCTGGCACAGCCCACCCAGCCCCGGGCACCACGGGCCCACTTGGCTCCATCCCAGAAGCCATTCTGGCTCCAGGGCTAGGCACTCTCTAGGCACTGAGAGCCAGGTGAGCGGTGAGATGCGCATCCCAATGCCAGCCTGGAGCCAGGACCACCGTGGGGAGGGAAGAGGCAGTGGGGTAGTGTGTTCCCAGGTTGCATGCAGCACAAGGCCACTGTCACTGGCTCCAGCACGGCCCCTGCTGCCTCCATGCTGCCCCCTCATTCAGAGGAACCTGGCTGGGCATTAGCATCAGCCACCCCACTTGAGAACCGTGATTCCACAGCCTGTGCAGCTGGGAACCCGGCTGACGCAGAGTCAGTCTCCCCAGGGGTGAGTGAGAGCCAAGTACAGCCGGTCCTGCGATGGTAAGCACTTCCCTTCTCTCTTTCTTTCTAGAACTGTCTACTACATGGGCTACAGGCAGGTGTATACCACGGAGACCCGGACCGTGCTCAGGTGCTGCCGAGGGTGGACGCAGCAGCCTGGCGAGCAGGGCTGCCTCTCGGGTGAGTGCCGCCTGCGCCTCCCTGCCCTCCCCTCCACCTCCACCGCAGATGACTCAGTAGAGTCATGAATCTGCGCCCGGCCTGGTGGGGATCGCCCTTCCACGGCAACACGAGCGACGCAGGGGCCACTCGCTCAGCAACGCCGCTTGCCAAAGGCTGCAAAAGCAACCTCAGCCGAGGCTGGCAGAGCTGTGGAAAGAGAGCTGGGGCCGGGTGGGGTCAGTCCACTTTGCTGGCTCTTCCAGAGGACGGGAGCCTGCCATTGGTAGGGTGTCTGAGGGTATCCTGGGGCACGCATTGGTGTCTGTGGGTTCATGTACCCCTGAGCCTAGTTCGGGGTTCACCTGCCACACCACGCTCACCCCCGGCTCCCTGAGTCCCTCTCCCTGCCCCATTTCCCTATACCATGTTCTCCCAAGGCCAATCTGGGCCGGGTGGCAGGCCTCAGCCTCCATGGGTGCGAGGGAGCCGCTCCTTCCTCTCTCTGTATGTAACCAGCACAATTCGAGAGGCCCATGCTGCATACAACCTGACCCGGGCAGGTGCTGGGGTGCTGGGTCTCGGAGGTGCGGGCCCAGGACTGGAATTGGGTGGTCTGAGCTGAGTGGGCGGCTCTCAAGCCTCTGGTTTGTGAAAGGACTGGCGTTCACAGCTACAGAGGTGTTTGGGAAGAGTTTCAGGCATGGGGACAGGAGTCCCGCAGGTGCAGCTGCCTGGGCAAAGGGGTCAGTGTCCCCTGCTGGGAGGGGTCGGCACAGAGGTCGTGGGACCCTGTCCCATAAAGCTGGCCTCCACTAAAACATTGAGGTGGCATCCTGCCAGTGAGGGGCACCATTGAGGTGGCATCCTGCCAGTGAGGGACAGGCTATGCCATGGAGTGTGGCAGAGAGTCACGCACTCCCCACATTTTTATTTTTATTTTTTACTTTTTATGTTTATTTATTTTATTTTATTTTTTTGAGAAGGAGTCTCGCTCTGTCGCCCAGGCTGGAGTGCTGTGGCCAGATCTCAGCTCACTGCAAGCTCCGCCTCCCGGGTTCCCGCCATTCTCCTGCCTCAGCCTCCCGAGTAGCTGGGACTACAGGCGCCCGCCACCTCGCCCGGCTAGTTTTTTTATTTTTTTAGTAGAGACAGGGTTTCACCGTGTTAGCCAGGATGGTCTCGATCTCCTGACCTCGTGATCTGCCCGTCTCGGCCTCCCAAAGTGCTGGGATTACAGGCTTGAGCCCCCGCGCCCGGCCTTATGTTTATTTTTTAGAGGCAGCGTCTCACTCTGTCAACCAGGCTGGAGTGCAGTGGCACCATCACAGCTCACTGTAGCCTCAAAATCCTGAGATCAAGCGATCCTCCCAGCTTAGCCTCCCAAGTAGCTGAGACTGCAGGTGTGCACCACCACGCTGAATAGTTATTGTATTTTTTGTGGAGACAGGGTCTCACCATGTCGCCCAGGCTGATCTTGAGCTCCTACGCTCAAGCAATCTTTCCACCTCGCCCTTCCAAAGTGCTGGGATTACAGGTGTGAGCCGCCATGTCCGGCCAACACTCCCCACATCGAGGGTTAATGGGCAGCGGGCTCCCCCGGACTCCGGTGACAGGAACAGAACCCAGCTGTAGGGGTCTTTATGGCAGGTAGTTGCCTGGAGCCGCAGGGGCTCTTCTCACACAGGAAGCGTGCAGACTGCAAACCAGGGCTGAAGTTGCCCGTCCTGGCTTGAGCTCCGGCAGGAAAAGGGGAAGAGAAGGGATGATGGCCGTGTTTTTCCATTAGAGGAAGTGGATAATTCTCTCCAGGAAGGGAGGAGAGTAACAAGGAAGAAGGAGGCGACTGGGCCTCTGCTGGCAGCAGGGAGGGGGTTGCTGGCCAGGCGCCCCTCGGAGGGGGTCCCAGCCTCCGCCGTCACTGATGGCGCCTGAGCTGTGCCCTGTTTCTCTGCTCCTGTCGTCTGGGAGGAACAAAGGGGTCTTTTTAGTGGGGAGGGGCAGACATCAAAGCCAAGGTTCCCTGAGTTTCCACTCTGAGGCAGGGATTCTGGGGCCTGCCCAAGGGGATTCTAATAATGGGGCGAAACAACAGGCAGCTGGGAGCGGGGGGGGGGCGGGGAGGGGAAATGGGGCTGCCAGTCCGAGTCCCCAGGTTTACAGGGGGAGAGCGGGCTTTTTGCTCCCAGGGGGGACTTGAAGGCCCAGCTGCATGGATGGCTGGGGCGGGGCTAGGGGTGTCCCTGGGCCTGGGGTCCTAGGTGGGGCAGGGGCGGAGAGCCTGGGCAGGGAAGGCAACTGCAGGTAGACGTGTGCGCGGCCGTGTTCCCCCGAAGCCGTCCCCTCTGAGCCCCGAGCTGGGCTCTGGCTATCCTCGTGTACACCTTGTATTCACCTCCATCAGCAGTGATCATCTCAGAGTCAGGCTCGAGGGCCGGGCCAGTCCCCTGAGGCTGCTTCAGCCTCTACTTGCTGTGGGGACATCAGGGTCTCGATGGTCCCAGCAGGGCCTAGTGAGTGTGGCCATCTCCATCACCAGCCTGGCCCAAGGTGAGCTTTGGGCCTGTCCTGCCAGCTCCGTCTGCCTGTGCCGTGGCCAGGCCCTAGGCCGCCATCCGAATATGGGACCCAGGGGCCTTAGGAGAACATGGTGGCTCTGCCCTGGCCGGGCTCTGCTGGCTGGAGTGGGGTGGAGGGCGTCTTGGCTGAGACCCTCACCAGGGCAGCCCGGGCTGGGCTGGGTGGAGGAGCTGGGCTGAGGCCGGGGGCGGGGGGCAGGGGAGGGTGGGGGTCCTGGTTGTCACGTCGGCGGGGTCCCCACACGGATCCTGGACTTGAGCTTTTCTTATTGTTTTTAAAAATTCGTTTTTAGCGCAGGATTTGCTTGTTTGTGTGTTTTGCTTTTATTTGCTTGTTTTCATGGCCCCGGGAAGCCCTGTGATCTCCTTCTCCGGCCGCTCTGTTCACCCCCACGGCTGGGTCCCAGCAAGTGAGGGAGGCGGTGGGTGGGTGGGAGTCAGTGTTCACAGGGGCTATGCCTGAGCCCCAAGGGTTGGAGGGGTGTTGCCTGGCGTGTCCCGTGCTAGCCACAGAGTCATTTGTTTATTTGGTCACTCAATTGTTTGCTGGGTTTTGGCTCAGCTGCTGCCGAGTACTGGGGGTTCGAGGACCCTGGCAGCGGGTGCTCACCCATGTGGAGCCCATGGCTGGGAGGCTGACCGTGAGTGAGCAGATGCTTCTCATGTGGCCAGGGTGTGACGAGGCCTGCAGAAGTGAGGATGGGCAAATGAAGGCCAGTGGGGGTCTAGGGGGTGGTGCTGGGGACAGCAGGAGTGTCTGGGGGGCAGCCTGGGAGCCTGGAATGTCAGAGAGGGCGCAGTGAGTCAGGGTCAGTGGGCGGCCTGGCCAAGGCTTTTTGGACTTCCCCCACCACGAGGCCTCCAGTCCAGGCAGGGAAGCCTGTAGGCCCTTCCTCAAGCTGCCCCTCTCAGGGGAGTGGGCTGCACGCCGGGACCCGCAGGCCTAGGGGCACCGTGCCAGCCTCTCTCTGGACCGGCTGCTCTCCCAGGGCCACTGTGTGAGGTGGTTGGGCCGGCTGGGGCTGGGGGCTTCTCTGCATCCCACAGGAGCGCCCTGGCAGGGCAGAATGGGTGGCCTCGGGGAGCCTGGCCTGGCCTGAGCCAGCATGTGGAGCAAGTGTTTGTTGATGGGCTGGATGCCGATGCCCGTCTAGGCAGCCAAGAGTGGAAAACATGGCTCAGTCCTGGGCTCAGTTCCCCCAGGTACCTGGTGAGCTCTGAGACCTGGTAGCAGCTCCCACCAGCCCCCTCGCTGGAGGCCCCATCAGGCCTCGAGCTCCAGGATGTGGGTGTGACAACGTCCACCTGAAAACCTGGGATTAAATGAGTCACTTCATGTGGAGCCTTTGTTTGGTGCCTGTATACAGTAAGCGCTCAAGCAATGCCAGCTCTTGTTCTTAGAGGAGGAGGCCTGGGTGAAGCCTGCTTGGCCTATGGTGACTCCTGTTAGCAGCAGTGACCGCGGCAGTGGCACACACGGTGGTCGGGCACCTCGGTCACGGCATCACTTGGCCAAGGGCTTGGGTGCAGGGGCTTGTGGGCAGGGCTCTCTGGTGACGGAGCCCAGGGCCTTACCCGCTGCTCGGTGGTTCTGGGACGTCTCTTCCCGCCTCCCCATGCTCAGCTGAGGCTCTGCCTTCCTGCCCCGGGTGAGCCGAGCGTTTCCGACACCACGTTCCAGCTCTGTTGTGCGCTTCCCATCTCTGCCGGCTCATGCAAGGAGGGCAGGGCGCAGCTGCTAGCGGGGTTGGGGCTTGTGTTGGGTGGGAGTCTCAGGGTCCCTGCAGGTGCCAAAGCCCCTCAGCCCCTGGGAGGCTCTCCCTCTGTGGGGTCAGCTGAGATCACACGTGGCTGCTCACGGTCTCCCCAGTCAGTGTGCCTGTGGGCATTGGGGCCACACCCAACCAGGGTCCTCCCTGCTCCCCAGCCCAGGGCACCGCTGTCCTTGAGAGCCGGAGGATGGCAGTGGGGTGCACGCCCCCGTGCAGGACAGATGCTCACTGTTTTTTTGTTTTTTTTGTTTTTGTTTTTTTTTTTTTTTTTGAGACGGAGTCTCGCTCTACCGCCCAGGCTGGAGTGCAGTGGCCGGATCTCAGCTCACTGCAAGCTCCGCCTCCCGGGTTTACGCCATTCTCCTGCCTCAGCCTCCCGAGCAGTTGGGACTACAGGCGCCTGCCACCGCGCCCGGCTAGTTTTTTGTATTTTTTTAGTAGAGACGGGGTTTCACCGTGTTAGCCAGGATGGTCTCGATCTCCTGACCTCGTGATCCGCCCGTCTCGGCCTCCCAAAGTGCTGGGACTACAGGCTTGAGCCACCGCGCCCGGCCAGATGCTCACTCTTTAGAGGGCCCTGTGGGTCAGGGCTTGGCTCTGCCTTTGCCTTCCCTTTTCTCACCCTTTGCCCCTTCCTCGTTTCTTTGTCCCCCTCCAGCCCCTGCTGGCA